ACGTTCTCATGTATGTATTTTGACCATCAACATATCATACTTACTAACAAGTTAGCCCGTTAAAAGTTAATCAGAAGACCCTGGTATGACCATTAGACACAGACATATGATTTCAGAACTAGTTATAAAAATAGCACGAGCTTCAGTTGATAACAATTAATTTCTATTTCTTCTATAATATGTCTGAGCAGTGTGTGAGAATAGATTTGCTGTTTGACAAGAGATACCAAGATATCTCAGTTTGAATTTTCAGCAGAAGAGTTCAAGCCACCTAATTCTTAGTCTCTTACAATAAGTCAACCCACATAGATTTTTTTCACTAAGGGTAGAGTTAATTTCAGATTAAAAAGCTTTGCTCACATTGTAAGCAAGCTCCTTGTTGACACAAATGTATAACCTAAAAATACAAGAATTATATATGCCGCAAAGAGAGTTTAGGTTTTTTAAATGTGTTTTTAAAATCAGCTCCATGAGGACTGTAGGCTTTATTTTCTTATTAGTCACTCTTGCTTATAACTAGACTAATTTGAGTCCACTGAGGTTTAAGGATAACATCAATACTCTGAGAAGAGCCTCAGAATCATGTTGCTAGAGGGGATGCTCTGACAGGATCTTAATGTATCCTTAGCTCTACATTTAGAGAAAGTTATTGTTATATTTGTGGCATCCCTGATCCAGAGCCCAAGCATGCTTTCAAAAAAATTCAGTGTGGATCAGAAGGGACGATGGCCAGCCCAAAAGACCTCAGTTAGACACACAAAGTGCCATCCTGTTCACTGCTCAGGACAGAATGCGGAGCACCCACAAACACGCTGTGCTCTTGCCCTGCCTGCAAGCCACACCTCTTTCATGTGTTTTTTTTCCATTCATTTACAGATGCTCAAACTTGCATCATGAAGTAGTGCAAATGATATATATTAAGGAGTTTATAAGAAAAATCAGGGGACAACTGGTGAAGTGAACATTTTTGCAGAGATTTAGCTTTAGAAAGAGTCCCTAGGTATTGTATGGCAATGACTAACTTTCAAATTATAACTTCATAATTTTGAAGTTATAATTGGTGCCTAGTTACCTAACTATGCATACACTACCAAGCCGCCACAATCATTTGAGTGGATATTGAGAACACATTCTGAAAAATCTCTAGAATGTTTGGAAGAAATACCCTGGAAGCAGATTAGGAAAAATGGCTAATTCTTTTCAGAAACGAGGAAGTTAGTTTTGACGGCACCTCTGAGGCAGCATTGCTAAACTCTTCAAGTTTAAAGGGCTGATTGAAGATAGAACTGGCACCCATGTTCAAAACCACCTCCACCAAAAACCTTGACTCTGTTAAGCACACCCTCAAACCTGCTACATCTAACAGAAAAGGATTTTATGAAGATTTTAAGAATGTATTCTGGTGACACTCATTGAATATCATTTTCACACTACAGTGGTAAGTCTGGTTCCCACAATGCCAATATTCAGCTCAACCCAGTATCTTAAATATATCCCATCCTAAGAAATGAAAAACAACACAAAAAAGCCTTCTTTCTGACAGCCTACACTATAAGGAAAACTGCCTTGAAAAGTGACTGAAGAGGGTATCTGTTAAAGCTGACCAGAATAAAAAAAAAAAAAACAACACACCCAACATTTACACTAGGGTTTCAACAGTCCCACTGAACATCATGAAAAACGTGGATGGGACACACAGCAGAATCAGACCCCTGAAGCTTTCTCTCTCTTTTTTTTGCAATGCCACACCAATGTATGTATTAAAGGGGTTTGGCACATGGCGCTCACCACCCACCACACAAACAACTCCACATCAGAATTTCCCTATCACTAGCCTACTTCAGTTTATACAAGGAGCAAACAATCCCTGGCACAGCCCACAACAGCATTGCCAGGAGGTTCTGCTGGGAAGGGCCGATAGCCACCACAGGGAACCCTGTCGCAAAGGCAACCACAACAGCTTGCTCCCTCAGACAGGCTGGTGCCGGGGGCGACTCACTCCACCGCAGAAGAAGCACCTAACCACAATCCAGAACTTCAGAAATATTTCTGTTCCATGTTACTGTCTGCAGAAGGGGCCTGAAACTATGTTAATTCTGAACTACACAGCTGTAAGAAGAGTTAGGGGCTATGCTGATGCTACTGCTGCGTAATTCAGTTATGTGCTTAGCCCACCCGTTTGTTCGATACCTGAAACCCAGCTGGAGCAGGGTATGTCAAAGATTCCTGGACAGGAATAAGGACAACAACAACAACAAAACCAAATAAGCCAGCAACATGATGAAAACCAGCTCCTAGTCTTGACAAGCTGTCACTCAGCTCCTCCGTTTCAGGCTGGTTTTCCCCTCCTCAGCAACACTGCCATTCAGGGGCTGGCAGCAGCTCCTGGGGCAATGAAGCAGAGAGAGGCATCTTTTTGCCCTAGGAATAAAGAAGGGTGCAATGTATTTTTATTTCCTTGCATCACACCCTCTTGTCATCTATGATTTCTTCATCACCCTCCTGTCCATGAGAAGAACATGTCAATATCCCCTTTCCTTTGGGACAGACCTCAGCAGAAGTCAAAGAGGAAGCATGCACGCTGTTCCCAAAACGATGCTGTTCTTAAAACTCTTAGCCCAATGAAGACCAACACAAGAGGAGCTGCAGGACAGGGCAAACACCTATTACAGCACTCAACAAACCAAGAATTACAGCAGGCTACCTGCATTGGCCAGTTGAATTGGCACAGTTTTACTAAAGACAGGCAATATTAGGAGCTGTTAGCAGAGAAGGGACTTCATCAGGTGATTTGTAAAATTCCACTAGGAAGTTGCTCAAAGAGGATTTTGTCATGTTACCAGTTTGTCCACGTTCCAGGAACATAGCACAGATTATTAGCACATCCTTCAAACCTCAGAATTTCTTCTAGAGGGAAAAAGATCACATTAAAAGACTTCCATTATAAACACATACAAACAACACTTTGTCAGGGTGTCATGTTTGCATGATGACATTTGATCCCAGTTCTTAGAATCTTCCAAATGTGCAAGGCTGTAGAATACAAACTAAAAATACTGCATCTCTTTGGCTGGAAATATAATTCAGGTAGTGTTTTAATATATAATAAGCAAGTTCCATGTGCCAGATATATGCAGAAAAATCAGTTTCAGATGTAAGCTTCCAGCTTCTCAGAAGTTATAATATTCAGAAACCAGAAAAGACATTTTATCATAAAAACAAACATGCTGATTACAGGCTGCTACAACCTGCAGTCCCTTGCATTTTCCACCACACCCTCTTGAACTTGAATTACAAATGGCAAAAGCGAAGTTATACAGACAAAAATACTTGTTGACAGCCCTTTCAGACCACTACTGAGAGCGGCTTTTTTGATTTTCTGTTCCAGGAAGGGTTCCTTTCCCCAGATACTGTTTTCAAACGCACACCTAAAAATTACTTTCCCTGAGCACTTTCAGACCTGGCACTGATGTACCATTCCAAGACTAAAGCCAGTGTTTTTCTACCTGCAATAAAGAAAAGAAAATGCCCATTCTGTTATGGCAAAGTCAGTTTTCTGCTTTTTGAAGCAGGAAACAAAACTATGTGGTGAAAACATTTCCTCCACAGGTTGCATTAAGGTAGTGGGAAAAAAAAAAAAAGAATTGGGAACATTCCATGTAATAACTTTCCCTTCAGTCTTTAGTGAAGCAAATGCCTTGAGAGGAGAAGCCCTTTTAACCAGGAGAAGCTACGGGTTTGCCCTTTATTGCTCTTAACACTCAACAGCATGCTGACCAAACAACCTCAAGCATGCTCAGCAAAATGAACACTGCTTTTGGGGCAAATGGCAGGCTGCTGTTTCATTGGCAAGTTAGAGTATGCCTACACAGAGGGCATTTGTCAAAAAAAAAATATTCCTCAGCAGAAGAAAAGCATCACAAATGCATGACAGTTGGAAAAATTTCAAAACATTTAAATAGGAAAAACATGTCTTCGTGAGGAACATCACAAGGAGGAAGAATCCTAGAGAAGATTACTGAACCAATGAGAGAAAATCCTGCCTTAGCAGAGACCTGTAAACATCTATTTGTGTTACAGCACTTTCACCTTTCAGCATCTGAGATTCCTTTTTTTCATTATTCGGCCACTTGCCATTTTGTGTACCCTGCAGTGGATACTTTCCTTCACCCTGAAAAAAAAAATATGCCTGACTACTAAAATGCTCATTTGAGCAGATATCTATCTGTATTAGCTGAAGCCACTGTTTGACTGCTATTTGTACGTGTGTGGATGGCATTCTCAAAGTCATCTGGGCAATGCTGCTTTCCATGCATACATCTCTATACATGGCAGTTACCCTAATAGTAGCTCTAGAAAAACCTCCCAGCACACAAAACACTCCAGAATAGCAACACATCGATCTGTCTGTGAAACCACAAAGAAAACAGGGAGCAATTTTCTGCTTTAGCCACGGATTGCAAGGACTTCTCTTGGCAATGGGGCATAGCGTTGGTACCTCCTCTGGACTGTAGCTCCAATGCTCCACATATTTGAGGTAAAACTTCATCACTCAGAGATATTGTTGACTGCATCCACACTGACTTTTTTGTTTGTTTGGGACACTAGTGCTCCTTTTGAACCAAATCTCCCCACTTACTACGCATTAGTTCAGCTTGCAGATGTTTTGATACTTGCAAGCTGCATCCTTTTCTGAGAAAACCAAGCCAGATGCCTATCAAGCCAGAAGTGTACCAGGTGTGCTTGGCCCCGTAGGGAATCGTAAGGGTCCAAATCAACAGTTAAGTCTTTTGGCCAGTAATGAATCATTTGTGTAGTAGAGACATTTCATCCAGAAACTATGCTAAATCTAGTCCAGAGTAAAAAATCTCCAAACCACATATACTGTGGAATTTGGGGCCTCAGCAACAACTGTTTTTATCTACTCCTATGCTCTGAGTAACTCAGAACATGAACTGTGTAGGTCTTCCCAGGACAACTCAGGGTGCTAGATCCCTTACCTGACTCTCTCTTCTTCAGCTCTTTTAAGCTCTGCATCCCGTTGCAGCACCTTCATTATTGCCTCTTGTTCCTCCTCTGTTAGGAAGCTTAGGTCAATCATCTTGTTATGTGTGTAGGGGCTGGTAAAGTATCCAGGAAATCTTAAATCCTGCTGAGGAAGACAGTCTTATAGTCCGCTTTAAAGGTATAGGAGAAGTCTTTTTCAGCAGGCACTGAGAAACCTGGACAAGATTACAGTCAGTGGTTTAAAGAGGCCCAAAAGTTGCTTTCTTGCAGTACAGCATGTGCATGCTTCCCTAGATGAGAGACTTTCGGGAAAGCGTTGCATTCCTGTTTGCCATCGTAATGATGTCTTCTCAGCTTGTCCTCTCAGCTCTGATTCCTGGAGTAACTTTCCTGGATTAAGTTCATTGACCCAGCATATCCAGTGTTTAAGAACAAACAAAATATCCCCTAAAAAAGAGACAAGGAAGGACAAGCTGTAATATCAGGGATCAGGGAAGTAGATTATGTATGCACTTATAATTAAAAGAAACAAGTTTTTCAGTGTGATTAAACTACTTCGTGAAGTACAAATGGTCACTTCAAGTCAAACCTGTTTTACAGACCTCTTGAATAAAGTGGCCACGAAAATGTATTCCTTTTCAGTAGGACAACTCACACTCTAAAGCACAGAATCAAGTGTCATTCAAATTATACATTTTAAAATGAGTGCATTTTAAGTTGTACTTTAAGTCAGCAGAAAAATTTGGAGGAGAGGGGAGGGAAAAAAAAAAATAATCAAGAACACTTATCACATTCATTTAAAGTAAAAAAAAAAAGTGTAGTCACAAGTATTGACATTATATTCAAGAGCACACAAGAAATCTGTGCCTATGGCTATCATGCACAGCTAAGGAAGAGCCAGATAGCTCAGAAGAAAAACCCAATGCTGCTTGCAGCCCTGATTCACAGCAGAGCAGTGAACAGAGGAAGGCAGCTCAACATGCATCTGCAGTGTTCACCTTCTGCCAGCGTAGACTTGGATCACATGCAGGAACAATCTTCTCAAGGCCTAGAAATTGGGTTTTGTTTATTTAAAGAAAGATTGCCTGAACTCCAGGAACAGAAGACTTAAAAAAACAACCACTGGGACTAAAACTCACGAGCTTGCCATGCTGGTTTACTTATCATTAGCACATTTCTAGGACACCATTTTTGGCAAGTCACCAACCAAACAGAACAAAAGAACCTCCCATTAGGACAAACCATTGAACTTTTGGACCCTAATTCACTCCAACCAAACTGTGTGCCTTGCCCTCCACACCTGTCTTCCCACTCCAAGGCTTTAAAGGCTCCTTTCCTCTTTCAGGAGATCAGAAAGGCAACAGTCATCACAAGCCCTGGAGGAAAAGCCCCGAGGAAGCAGTCAGAACCCTGCCAAACGTAACATGTTGCAGCAGTGAGATGGGAGGAGGCTGGGAGTGTGTTAGAGGAATTTGTATGCTCCAGTTCAAGACGTAGGGAGCGTGTTCTCAGATTGGTGCAATGCCTCTTTCTGCAATGCCTCTTCCTGCAGGATTTTGTCTTCTATTCCTAACAAAAAATGTGTATCACTCATAAAAGCATCTAAATAAAAGCAACAGTTTTAAGAGATTATTTCCTCAGAATCCCCTCAAATGGGAATTCTGCAACAGACTTTTGAAAAAAATACTCTTTC